TTTAAAGTAAACATCACAAAAAATCATGGGTAGTGCTACATAAACCACTAGAGAGAGCATGGTAATAAGGCCATATATCCATCTTTGGGATAGCACCTATTGCCAAAACGACTAAGCCCTTTGGGCAAAAATTAAAAACTGTGAATGACTTCAGGTGTTCACCATGGGTAGCATTGAAGGGTCTGCTGCTACATGCCAGAGAATATCATTGCCCAATTGTTAGGAATAAAACTAAATAAAGAGAAAGCAAAGAACAAAAGTTCGCCAACTCAAAGGAAAACAAAATAAATACAGACTAATGCTATTAGCTCTGCAATTGGATCTTAGGCCTTGGCTATACTTGTGAGTTACAGCGCTGTAAAGCCGCCCCCAGCGCTGTAACTCACTCCCCGTCCACACTGGCAAGGCATTTGCAGCGCTGCATCTCCGTGGTTGCAGCGCTGCATGTACTCCACCTCCCCGAGAGGAATAGCGAGTATTGCGCTGCCGCTGCTGCGCTGCGGCGTCAGTGTGGCCGCCCAATGTGCTATGAATGGCCTCCAGAATTATTCAGCAGTATCCCACAATGCCTGTTCTATCTGTTCACATCGCGGCAATCGGCCTGGGTAATCTCCTCGAATGTCTCATCCAGAACGTGTGCAATGCGCTTGCGCAGTTTACCGGGAGTGCCACCGTGGTCCTTGTCCCAGCCAGGCTAATGTGTCCGCACCACTGTGCCGCGAGGGGACCATTGCTGCACACAGGCAAGCTGCATATGGGTCAGGGCAGAAGCCGCATTGCAGTAGAAGACCCTCCCTTGCTTCCCAGGTCACCCTCAGCAGCAAGATATCGTCCAGGACGAACTCCTGTGGAAAATGTTGGGACAGTGTTCAGTGTAGGTGCCCCCTGAAGCTGTTGGCTCTCCCCAAGGCACAGAAACCCAGAGGACAGTGCAGCCCTGAAACAATCAGTCCCCCTTACTCACCATTTTGAGGCTCCCGTGGGATATGTGTTCTCTGTTTCGGATGGGAAAATTATGATATTGTGTAGACCCTGTGTGTTTTCTACTCCTTAAGTGCGGGGAGGGGGGAATCATTACTCTGTCTGGTATAAACAATGCTGCCTCTGTTAAATGTTGCATTTTGCCTATACAGCTGCATCAACCTTGAGACCTCAGCCATCCCTCTTATCGCCTGCTCAGAGGCTGCAAAGACTCAGGAAGAGACTGCGAAAAAGCAAAGACGACATGCTGCAAGAAGTGATGCGGCAATCTATTAAAGAGAATGAGAAAGCACAGAACTGGAGGGAGAGAGTAAGCAGGATCTGCCAGGAAAACGCAGCACACTGGCGGCAAAGCACGGAGCACCAGCAGCAAAGCACGGATCGGCTCATAAGCATCCTGGAGCGCCAAGCAGACGCTATCCAGGAGCTCGTAGCCATGCAGAAAGAGGAGCAGTACCGCAAACGCCACCCCCCCCTACAGCCCTTGTCCCAAAACTCTTTCTGTTGTGCCCCACTGTCACCTCCAACCCACTTTCCCCAACTTCCGTGTTCTTCACGCCACCCACTGCCTCCAACGCCAGTATCTTCACCACCCAGCCCTGAAAACCACGACCCTTACCCTCTGCACTCAACCCCCATCACCATGCAGTATAACT